TTTTCTGCCCGGGTGTTTTAAAATATAACGCCTTTGAGGACAGGGAGTTCTGCCTCCCGACAGTTTACCTCATGTTCTGTCTTGCGTTCTCTCCGTCGGCTCGTTTATGCAAGTGTCTGTGTGGAAGCTACACTGACTTAGAATTAGCGCTGAAAATATTTTCGGTAAAAAGAGTCAAGGGCAGATTGTGAGCGGTTACCTTTTCTCTAAAGGGCAACCAGTGAAGGTTTGCTTCTTTAACAAAGAGTCTGTGGGTTTAGTCCTCAAAGCTTTGAACTGCTCACAGCTTCCACCGATTATGCTGATAACTGTAAAGGACCAATTTTAAGAGCCTGACAGTTGGTGGGATTTTTCTTGGACATTATATCCTTGGAGAGCATCTCACAAATGCAGCAGTAGCGTTGTCTTTTACTCTTTCGAGCTCTTACGCGTAGCGCTTGCTAGTCAGATACCTTTTCAGTTTCAAGCAAGCTGCGATAATCTCAACACACCTTCTAATGTTTTGTCATAAATGAAAAATCTTTGGGGTAGCAAGGAAACTCCTGGAAAGCAAACATGTTGATTAAATATTCTTTATTAAAAATAAGTTGTGTTTTGTTTTTGTTTTTGTTTTTTTTTCCAGATGTAAGCATCTCTGCATCATCATCTTTACAAAGCAAAGGGAGTATTTCCTTATTGGGAAGTAGGAAGCTTTTTTTTGACACTCATGCGCTGGTATGCCTCTTGGAAGAAAATGGTAATTTGCTAGAAATGGGTGGCTGTTTTTAATGTCATTTCATGGGTGGTTTTTTAGTTTACAAAGTTTGTTACTTCTTGACATGTGATGTTACAGCTTCAGTTTCATGGATTTTATTTTTTTTATATACTGAGTAAGAACGTGTAGGTTTTTTCTACTTCCAAAAGGAAATAGTGAGCTTGTAAGTTTGATTGGAATAATTTATTATCCTACTCATAATTCAAAATGCTAAAGAGAAATCAAATTTTAAGAATTGAGAGTAAAAACCAGAGTTTTCAAGGTAGTGGTTTAAAAAATATTGATTGGATTCCTACATATTTAGTATATAGCACCTTGAATGTGCAGCAGTGTGTTATAATAGGATTGATTATGGCCTACTATGTAAAATGCGGGGAGGGGTATCTTCCTTTTGGTGATGGCAGACTATTGCATCAGCTCAGCTATTGAAAGCAACTTGGTCTCAGACCCTGTAAGTGCTTTCTAATGCTTAGTTTGAAACAATCATGCTTTTGTAAGTGTTTCTTTTCATAATGATTAAATCTTGTTTATGACACTTTTACATTTTGAAAGTGGAAGAGTTGAGAGTGTTTCTAGGGATGATGTTTTACAACAGTTCCCAATATATTCCGTTTAAAAGGTTTCTAATAGAGACTTAGAGCCTGATAGGCCTAAAATCAGAGCAGTTAGCACTGTTTTCAGTTGTTGACTTTTGCACATCTTCAGTGGTACTGAAGATTTATAGTATACTGAAAGTAAGCATCTGCTTTTCAGGGTCAGAATTTTTGCTCATAGAAATAACCACGTGCGAAATGACATTCCATAATACCTCTAGAAAATTTCCACTGTTTATCCTGCTGATACTGTAATAGTGCTGTACTACAGAAGCAGCTATACTATCTCACAGACATAATTCTGGGGTGGGGGAACTTGGATGTACTGATTGGTTGTGTTCTTTTGTTAGTGCTGAATCAAGAGGAGTATGTTTTATTATTTTCCATAACTGATGTTTGTTTTAACTTGGTGCTGAGTATTAGCAAGTGGCGTTTCTGTAAACTATCCAGATTTAGGTGTCTCTGAATGTTGTTGCATTTTGTTTTGCTTAGGTTTCACTACTCAGCAGTCAGAGGTCATTGTATCTGCATTAGTGAAAATTATGAACACCAACCTGGATATGATTTACAAGGACATGGTCACCAAAGTACAGCAGGTTAGATCAGAGACAATGGTGGGGTTAAAGTAAATCATAACCTGGTATGCCTGCTAATGAAATATGTGTTGCTATTTATTACTGTTAGAGACTGTATTTTAAAAGTTTGAAGGTGAAGAGCAAACATCCTTGTGTATCTATTGGCTAGTGAATTTTGTCTTGAGTTTATCAAATACTTACCAAAGTGTTGTGGTGGACCTTGAGATTTAGGTACTGTGAGTTGGTATGCAAACCACAGGTAGTTTTTTTAGTTTCAGCTTTATTGTAGCATGAAGTAGAATTACTGAGGAGGCTTTTAGGCATAGGAGGTATTCAGTGCATGGATTTGAATAGTCACAGCTCCTACATATATTCTTTTGTAGACTTGTAACAAGGAAGTGCAGATTCCCTCAGTTATTTCCCACCCTGTTATGTGGTACCTTTTTATTTACCTTTGTGTCACAGTGACATTTATATTGTATTAGAATTGAGCTGAATTTTCTTTTTTTATAGATGTTTTTAGGGCATGATTGGTGTAGTTGTATACACTGATAAGATACAGGTACATGTATAGTTTGGATGCTGATATTGAAATCTATCTCCTTGTTCATGGTATTCTCTAAACCTACCCAGCATATACATCGTGGTGGGAGGAGGTGAAGAAAACTTGCTTGGAAATAGGCTGATAATGCTGAGTATCTACAGAGATCCTTCCTGGCTACCAGGAAATTGTGTACAACTGAACTGAATTGTCAGCTTTGACTTGTGAGGGAATGATTGTTTTAATGAATAATTGGGTATGGAGGCAAGACTTTTTCTGATACTGGCCGTGATTTTTTGAGGGCCCTTTGTCAGGTCATAACAAAGGTAGATCCATGTAAGGAATTGGACATGACAGTGTTGAATATTGCCACATTGAGCTCTTGGGCATCTGGCTCCAGAAATGAAACTGAAATTCAGAGTAAGGTGTGATTCACTGCATGTGGAACTTGGGCATCTTTGAATGGGATTCACAATATCTGGTATGCTGGAATTCCGACGCGTAAGCTGGTCAAACAGACCAATGCTGACAAGCAGCATACCTGAAGTACAACCTCTGGGGCTGCTCTGTGAGGCTGGGGTTCACAGCCCCAGGTCACCTTCTGAATGCAAGCTTTAACTTATTTCATAGTAACTAGGCTGCTGCCTTAAAACATGAGAAAACAGCAGCTGCTGTCTTTATAGAATAGTAGTCTTGGCAGTAGGGCATCTCATTAAGAAGTGGGATACCTGGATTTTGCACAACCTTCCATCTAGGGAGGTTTCAGCCCATCCTTCCTAGCTTTTAGAGTCCAGGCAAAGCAGACGTGGGAGTGCTGCCTCCTCCTGTGCTGAGTTTGTTCCACAGTCAATCAGGGAATGCAATGTTAACGGGACTGTTTCCCCAATGGTTGATTGTATTTTACAGTAAGCAGTCTACAATAAGCAATCCAAACCTGCTTCTATGCCCAGCTTTTTTGAATGAAAGTAAACATGTTTTCCTTTGTTTTGTTCTGAATTAAATGCTGCTGCTGATGGTAGATGTTTTGTGAGACCCTCAGGTGACTTTCTGCCATTAAGATTCAAATGTGCAGGTTTGTACAGCATGTTAAGATAGAAGCAGCTCAGGAAGCGTGTATGCCATGAACTCCAGGCAACATGATAAACCTGTACTTCCTTGTAGTCTTTGAATGCACAAGGGCTTATGCAAAAAGAGAATGAAGAATTGGAAGACGATTTGGAACATTGTGGATGTAGCTATTACCATTAGGCCATAGTTGGGTATGTAAAAGATAAAGTATTACACTGGTTGGATAAAACCTTAGGGAAAAAGGAATAAGTGTGTGTGTGTATGTATAGAGGTGAGGAGGAGAAAGAATATGGAAGATTCTGTTCCGTTTTCTGAGTTCCCTGAAGAGGGGAGAGAACAAAAGCAAGCTGGAGACATCAGGGAGTAAGAGAAGAGGTTTCCATGGCTGTAGACTTTTAGTAATGTGTCCAGTACGCTGACACATTTTTTTAGACTTGTGGTCAGGTAACCTGGTGAGGCATCTCCAGATGCCACTTAGAAATATAACACTGCAAGTTAGAATAGTATTTCCTGACAAAAGTGAAGTTAAGAGTGATGTGTCAGATTTGTAGAGTTCTTAGTCCAGAATCAAAAGCAAGGGACTACTTATTAGAGGGAGATCTTCAGAGAAGAGAAGGCAGTCCCTGTTTGTGTGTGTGGATAGTGTAGGATCTAGAACAATGTCTACAGACTTTTCCATCCTTGAAAGTTGCAGAGGATTCTTGTTTGTCTTCTGTCAGCTCAGTATAACAGACTGAGAAGAGCAATTAAAACTAAGTACAGTGCATGATTCTGAGTAGTGAAGCAGAGTGAGCCCCCTTGCAGGGGGAGGTAAAAAAAGGAGGTTATTACAAAAGAGTATGGTTGCATTGAGGAATTTGGGTCTGAAAGCCAGCTTTCCTCATTTAGCTCAGAGACGCCTCTTCTCTCCCTAGTGCCTTTGCTAGCTTAAGAATTTGAAGACTTGGAATAAACTATTAATTGAATTCTTCTGATCTATGTTAGCACTGCTGATTTTGTCAAACATTACCAATGTTTGAGCTTAACTTGCTTATTTTGTCACTGTCACTTAATTTATCTTGCTGTCTGAAACTCATATAATCAGTCTGAAATTGCTGAATTAAAAATTTCAGGGTACCAAAATAGACTATCATATCTGTAGGCACAGATGAGAGAAAGCGTTGTAGTTATGATATGTTCTGAGGTTTTTCTTCCCTCTTTTAAAGGAAATTGCACTTCAGCAAGTAATGTCCCATATTGGTGGCGTGAAAAAGGACATGATTATTTTGGAAAAAAGTGAATTTTCAGCACTTCGTTCAGAAAATGAGGTAAAAATCACTGTCTTGGAAAGTGCTATTCTAGCACTAGCTTATTTTTTCTAATGATGTAAAAAAGCATCTTGAACCAAAGGGGTTGCCTGTGGGACAAGTATGCTTTAACACCTTCATTAATGACCTTGTTGATGGGGCAGAGTACACCCTCTAAGTCTGCAGATGGTACAAAGCTGGGAGCAGTGACTGGTACACCAGGCAGTTGTGCTGCCATTCAGAGGGACGTCAACAGGCTGGGGAAATAGGATGACAGGAATCTCATGAAGTTGAACAAATGGAAATGCCAAGTCCTGCACTTAGGGAGGAATAGCCCCAGGCACTAGGACAGGCTGGGCCTGACCAGCTGGAAAGCAGCTTTGCAGAAGAGGCCCTGAGGGTCGTGATGGATACCAGGTTGACCATGAGCCAGCAATGAGCCCTTGGGGCAAGGACCCCTAACAACCTCCTGGGCTGTGTTTGGAGGGCTGCCACTGGGTCAAGGGAGGTGATCCTTCCCCTCTCTCTGGCACTGGTGAGACTTCATCTGGAGTGCTGCGTCCAGTTCTGGGCTCTCCAGCACAAGGGAGATATGGACATGCTGGACAGAGTCCAACAAACAGCCAGAAAGATCAGTAAGGATCATCTGACTGATCATCATGGAGCATCTGACACATGAGGAAAGACTGCGAGAGCTGGGACTGTTTAGCCTGGAGAAGTGAAGGCTCAGAAGGAATCTCATCAATGTGTACAAATATTTGAAAGGGGGGGGGGGGGGGGGGAGAAAAAAAAGGGGGG